CCTCGGCTCCCCCCCCCAAGATGGGATGGGGGAACAAACGAAAACGACGAGGACGACGAGGATGCCGACGACGACGACGCCGCCGCCGACGACGTTGCGTTGCGTTGCGTTGCGTAGGCGTCATACAGGGGTGCCTCCTGGGCCCGACGCCGCTCACAGAAGCTTAAAGGGTAGCAGCGTCGAGAATGTTCATAAATATTTCCGCCATTCAAGCCACGTCTTCCGCCCCTCTCCCCAAGACAGCCCAGAGACAGGCTTCAGGAGCCAGTGGCCCCCATAAAACTTATAGAAATCTCGCTCCCAACGCCAGATCCCGACTGTTCGGTGATGCAACTGGGAGCCTTGCCACCTAGTCATCTCGGTCATCCAAGCACGATCGTGATAACGAAGGACGCGGTACGCGATCCTCTCTGGACAGGCCCTACCCAAGGACTGCAAGAAACCTCCCCAATTGTGCTGCATCCTTCTGCAGGTCTGGGGCCACGATTCAACATTGTATCTAGCTCTGACATCAGCAACGCAATGCATGGCAGACTTCATATATTCAGCTGCGGATTCTCCGCGCGGCGGGCGGATCATGCGCCTAAGCATGGTATTGTGACATTTAGAAATCCTACTCATGGCAGAAACGGTGATATGTAAACTCCCTATGCAATATGTCAGGGCTGGGCGAACACATCGATCCAGGGCCTTCAATCTTTTCTGAGGGCTAATCTTCCGATTGGTCAACATCGCTCGATGAACGGCCCAGGTGCGCCACGCGCGTTGAATTCTGTTACATACCTCGTGTGTGCAACTACGATCGAAGGCGACAAAAGTCCCGAGCACTGTCAAGCCTTCAGCTCGGGCTCGACAGGGAACGCACGTGCCACGGACGCGAAGCGTGCCTATATGCGACGGGCACGCGTGGCACCACTCCATTTCCTGCACGGGAACCTCTAAACCACTACGCTCGAGAATCCGAAGCCAAGCTTCCGTCATAATCGCGGCCATCGAGACCGATCTCGCTAAAATCCAAATTGTCGGCGAAGCTCAAAACTCCTAAAACCTCATCCTCCTCCCCAGGGGTGGTCAAACAAATACGCCAGCCATTTTTACGGCAGAGGTCGCGAAAAGCGAAAAGACACTGATCGAGGAAAACATTGCCAAGATCGGGCGCCGCAGGATCCCCTTGGATGAGAGACTTCCCACGCCGAATCGGGCCCGTGAGGGCGTTCCCAGGAAGACGAACTGTGGCCTTGGAGCGGCGAATTTCACGAATCCAGAACGAGATAGCAACGCGGGCAACTCCGTGGCTATCGAAGCGACGAGCCAGGGCGGCGTGCTGAATAAAATCATAAAACTTTCTAGTGTCTCCGCCCAGAACGACGAGCGGGGGGTCCTTATACTCACAAAACTTCAACTAAGTGGCGCAAGCTATATATGACTTCGCGGGCCTGGTACCCTCTGCGAAAAGCGAACTGACTCTCACTACGACACGATTCAATCACTCCTCGTTGCGTCTCCATCACCATCATGCTCAATATCTTCTGCAACACCGAGATCAGGGCTATCGGGCGAAACTGACTAATCTTGCGGGCATCTGGCACTTTTCGGATGAGCTGCACCACGCGATCGCTCCAGGCTGTGTCGAAATATTCCGAAATGTGGTTCCTGAGCCGAAGTCTGAAGGCCTGCAGCAGGTGCTCTAGGACATCCGTCTCCAACCCCTGAAGCATTTCGCCCACAATCATGTCGGTCTCGTCGCAGGACTTGCAGCTCGTCAGGCGACCGATGCACATCCGGAGGAGCGGGAGGCTCAATCAAGGGCACGGACTGTTGCTGCTCCTCGGCTGACCACTGCTGGTGGATCCAGTCTGGCAACTGTCCGTCACTGGTCGCGTCCTGGAACAGCTGAGTGTAGAAAGTATGGGCCTCCTGCAGTCGCTCGGCGCCGGTGGTCGCCTGGCCGCCATCTATCTTGTCCAAGCAATAGAGTGGGCGCCCCGTCTCGTAGGCCATCTCGGCTCGACCACGCTCGCACAGACGGGACAGGTGCTCAGTGGAACAGCGATCTCTCATGGCCCGCTTCAGCTTACAGACCGCGGGCCCCATGAGATGTCTGACTCGCGGGCCCTCCCCCGCAGCCCGCGCGCGCTCCAAAGCCTGCAGCTGAAGCAGCTGAGCGTCTCCTGGCGGGGGCCGCCACCGGCCTCGGCGCGGAGCGTGGCCAGCCTTCGCGGCGGCCGCGCAGATGGAGGCGGACAGGAGGCACAGCGAGGCGATGCCCTGGCGCGTGCTGGAGGCTGTCGCCGTAGGCGCTGCCAGATGAAGACCCAGCGCGGCGCCCGCGTCCTCACTGAGGATGTCAGCCTGGCGCCGCTTCCGCGCCGCTCGGCAGGCTGCCAGGTGGGCAGCGCAGGTGGCCTGGAAGGCGGCAGCGCCCCAGTCAGGCGCAGGGCATGGCCGTCTCCAGTGGCTCTCGATGTGGCGCTGGTCACTGCCCAACTTGGCGAGATAGTCAGCCTGCTCGTTGCCCGTGTTTCCGTTGTGGCTCTTCACCCATCTGATGATCATGTCAAAAACGGTCTGAGAGCGCTGCCACAGGTGGGCGGCCAAGGTCGCGAGCTCGAAATTCTCCTTCGGCTGGAAGACACCCTGCAGCAAGTTGCGAACGTACGTGGAGTCGGTGCTGACGATGATGCGGGTGGCGTCCCGCACGAGTGGCTGAGCAAGTAGACGCTGTCCGAGTAGCCAGAGAAGCGCCTCTACGATGGCTGTCAACTCGCCCGTATTCGCCGATAAGCATGTCGCGCCCACATACCGAGGGTCCTGCACATCAGTGATGACCTGGCCACAGGCCTCCAGAAGACTGGTGTCCTGGTCGTTCGGCTCGGCTACGTGATAGAGTGCGAATCCCCAGCCAGCCGCATGGCACCGATGACGCCGCTGTCGGTCTCGTCCTCGCCGAGCAGAGCCATCCGTGAAGATCCCCATAGCGTTAGTCATGTCCCCCTCAGTGTACATCGCGGTCTCTGGAGGAGTGTAGCTGATCTGCAGGGACGTGCAGATGGTGGAGTTGAACAGCTCGGCATCTTCGACCTGCCAACCCACGGGTTTCCGTGGTGGGCGTTCGATGGTCTCCAGCGGCATCGGCTCGGTGTGGCCAGCGATCGCGGGGACGCCTTGGCCAGCGTGGCAGCGCAGGAGGAGCGGCAGGTGGTCGCTCGAGGAGGCGTCGGTGAAACGGGCCTGGCAGTGCGTCCGCGATAACCAGTCGCGGTGAATCAACATGAAGTCGATCTGTCTGGGCTCCTTGCGATTGTCAAAGAAGCAAGTGGCCTGGCCCCACTGTCCACGGGAATCGGTGTTAGCAGCAACCAGATCGAACTCGGTCATTAAGTCGTGAAGCATCTCGCCTCGCCAGGTCATCTCGGAAGTAGAGAAAGGGCCCACAATGTCTCCGCCAGGTACCCCTAGGCCGTCCTGGGCATCGAGGCTGACAATGGCGCGGCAATCAATTGGCATGGTGAACAAGCATTCTCGTAACTGCTGGACGGTCTCAGCATACTCACATCGAACGATATGCGACAATAGGTGGCTGGTGATAGCCCGCACACGGCCCCAGATAGGCAACTGTAAGTAAGTCTAGGGCCATGGTGCGCCCGTGGAGCTGCGGCTCGCCAATGGCGGAGGGCGCCAATGAGTTGGCCACAACTATCGCACACCTCTGCCAAGCCCCCGATGGAGGCGACACGTGCACAACATAGCCGTCATAGGTCTGCTGAGCTCCACCTGCAACACACCATTCTTGAAAAAAGGATCAAACTCGCATCGAATTCATCGGTCAGCGAATCGAGCACGGCACGGCGCCGCTTCGCAAGGACACCTCTCGCATTCCACCCAAGAACTGTGAGGCCCCTGATGTCCTTAACGTAGCGCCTGCCCCGTACGCGAAACCACTGAAGCCGAGGGGGGTCGTTGATCTCGCTCAGGCGCTCGCGCAGCTTCAGATCATTGAGCTCCTGGTCCAAGGCGGCGGCTGCCAGGGCGTCGGCGCTGACCTCAAGCAGGTCTGACGTCCTCGAGCGATGCAACAGACGAACTGGCCGCTCCGTGCTGCTCTTGCGAAACACCACCTGTCCGCGATCCCAGTCGCCATCGAAGGTGCGCTGCTTCGACTCCTCCGTGCACAGTCACGTCTGGATGCCGAACTCTCGCAAGATCCGCACCGCACAGCTGACCCGACGGGAGAGCTCCACCTCGTGTGGGTCCTGGTCGACCTTGTGCCACAGCCTGTCGTTGCGAGCTCCTGGGCAGGGGATCGTCTGGCCCTTCCAGCGCTTCATGAAACCCCACATCTTCTGATTGTTTGCGAAGACTACTTTGGCCTGATCGCAGAACCGCCCAACTCCGTAGATCTCGGTGATCCCCTGCGCCTCCAGGGAGACCGTCTTGGCGAGCTCCGTGCGCAAGTGCTTCTCCACCTCGTCCTTGTCCCATGCGCCAGGGAAGCCCGCAACGAACACCACGTGTTTGCAGTTCTTCCCGCCTCGCGGCCGCGCCGTCGGCGGAGGCATCCCGCCCGCGCGCTGCTGCTCCAGGTAGGCACCCCACGGATCAGGCTGGCCGCTCACATGGGAGGCTGACCCCAAGCCCGCTCTCGGTCCGACCGAGCTCACGGCCGAGGATCGGCCCGCCTCGAGAGCCTCCAACCTGGCCTCCTGCGCCCTCAGCTTGGCCTGCACCGCGGAGATGTCCCGACTGCTGGCCTCCGAGGTAAACTGCAGTGCGTCGACGCGGGTCTGCAATCCATCCAGCTTCACCCCCATCGACTGGTTGAGGGCCCCGATGATGTACTGCGCCAGTCCCAGCTGCGCTGGGTCGGTCGGGAGGCCCGGGGCGACCTGCGGCACGGCTGCCTGAACAGACGGGGCACGTTGAACCTCGACGGGAACGATGTCGTCGTCTGTGTCACGATCCTCCATCGCGACGCCACCCACGCTCAGCTCGGTCTTGCGTCACTGGTCCCGCTCCCAGACCTGACCAGGTGCGTCGGCGGCCGCGCCAGCAAGCAGAACAGGTGGAGGGGCGTTCGCGAAAGCCATCCCAGACCGCAGCAAAATGCGCGCGAGGAAAGCTCGAACTCGAGAAGACAAGAAACTCCAGCCTCGAATCCAGGCTGGGCCGCCTGGACGGGCGTGCGATCTCCAGTGCTGCCTGGGTGCCGTCTTGAGCCAAAATGGCCGCCGACGACGACGACAACGACGACGACGACGACGACGACGTCGACGCCGACGCTGACGCCGACGCCGACGCCGACGCCGATGACGGCGACGACGACGACCACCACCACCACCACGACGACCACGACCACGCCACGCCCACAGGGGGGGACCCGTCGCAAAGGGGGGGGAGGCGACGGCATCAGCATGACGGGAAGGTTGGAGACCCAGACTTCGGTGGCAATCCATGGGAGCCTCCCATACCATCTTGGAAATTACGAGGGTATACAAGTTCCCCATGACTTGCTACCGATACACACCCTGGCCTGTACATGAGAAAACCAAAATGCACCGATACCGCTACTCCCCCGACCTCTCCTGGGGTGCGTTCTGACCTGGATCTCGAAGCGAATCCAGCCGTGGCGACGAGAGCCCCCCAGGAGGCCGAAAAAAGGGGGAAAGGAGGCAAGGGCCTGGGTAACTCGCTCCTCCTCCGAAAGCTCCGACGACTTGCTACCGAACCAGACCTTCGCCCTTACGTGGGGTTGGGGACCGGCCAGACGATGCCGAACGCTGACCCCGCAGCTGACCCGTCAGGAGAGAAAAAAAAAACACAGACACAATTAATCCTCGATCCCCCAGGAAATATGGGAAAATATGGGAAGTGGGGGGGAAGACAGAAACCCAGAAAATATGGAAAAATATGGGGAATCATTTTATTTGTGTGTATTTATTTGTGTGTCCTGGGGCCCCTTCAACCCGGGCGGCCGCGGGCGGGTCCTTGGCGTCGGACAACCGGCCCTCCAGCTGGCGCCTGGCCTCCGCCAGGCGGGCGCTCTCGTCGCGCTCGGCCGCAGCGCTGGGCCGCACCTCTCGAGCGCGCAGCGGCAGCGACGGCAAAGTCGGATAGCCCAGGGGCGGCCATTATGCGTACACCCTGCGAAATGCTTAAGAAATCATGGGTTAAGAAATTCATAGTCTCAGAAATTGAATAAAAACCCAGAAAGTCTATCAAAATCTTGGGATTTACATTGAAACGTTAAGAATAATCGAGACTCTGGACGAAAACTTAAGTTTTCTTAAGCATCGCCTAAGGTGTATGGGGGCGTCGCGGAAAACATGGAACCTCGGCGCCCCTGGACACATGTTGCCGATTCCAAGAATCCTGAACCCCAAAACATTGTCATCTCTTGGGGGCGCATTTGTTGCTGCCGCCGGCTTCTGCCAGCCTTCCGCCGGCCTCCGCTGGCAAAGGCGGTCCCGTTCTACTTCAGCGGGTCTCCGCCACCCTTCCGCCGCCTTCCGCCGAGGAAGTCCTTCGATCCTCGAAGGCTGATGTATAGTTCCCCCCTGGAGCACGTGCTCGGAAGCCAGGCCGCTGCGGGGCGGGGCGCCGGCGAAACACGCTTTGCCGTAGTAGCGTTGCGCCAGGTGTTTCTGATGGTCTGGGCCATAAAACAAACAAACGAGTTGGGCGGGAGAAGACAGAAGATCTAAGCCGCGTTGGCACCAGAGTCTCTGTTCACCGAGATTACCAAGCACGCTGGACAGAGGATGGATGCTGGGAATTTGTCCCCGATAGCGTTTGATCAGTACGGTTCTAGTGGTAGTGAAAAAAGGACGCGAATAGTGTGCCACATGGGGGGACAGGGAGCCTTAGACCGCCAGGCCTGGCCACCGTTCCGCCTGAATGTCGGCTACATGTGTGGTCCAGACGGCCACGACCCCTTGCACAACAAAACGTTACTGTGCACATGGCCGTGCTCTCACCCCATGTACCGCCTGACAGCGTCCCAGGGAATCCGTCGGGATTTTTCGGTCGGCGGGCACCAAAGATGCTGGTACAGGTCAAGCATCGGGAAGGGCGCTCCAGAAACGAATTGCGGCCCGGAAGGGGCCGGGCAGAGAAGAGAGGCGGACGAGAAAGAGCAGCGGTCAGGATGTGAAAAGTCCTTCACGCGCGTGCCGGAGGTGCACAGGGAACAAGCAGAACTGGCCCACGGGGAACATCCCTGGGGGTACATGGGAGCGCACGTCTTCACGAGGCTGCCTCCTGCTCTTCGACCCGCCGCTTCACACTTGCTGCCAGTACACCCTGCGAAATGCTTAAGAAATCATGGGTTAAGAAATTCATAGTCTCAGAAATTGAATAAAACCAAGAACTTCTATCAAAATCTTGGGATTTACATAGAAAGGTTAAGAATAATCGAGACTCTGGACGAAAACTTAGGTTTTCTTAAGCATCGCCTAAGGTGTAGGGTGCTTTTTGCTGGGGGGGTGCACCAGCCATGCGAAACTGGGGACTCCAGCGGCCGGGCGACGGCACCCGCAGCAGAGGTACAAAGGGCGGGGCACGCCGATGGCTCGAGTACCGCTCGGCGCTGCAGGTGGGCAGTGCCCTCTCGCCGTCCTGCTGCTTCGCGGCGTTCGCTGTCTCGGGTCTTCCTTCGTATCATCCTTCCAGTTGCTCGGTTTTTCTCACTCCTTCTTCTCCTCCTCGCCCTCCTCCTTTCCCTCTTCCTCCTCGAGGGCTGCAGCAGACACTGGCCGAAGCCAACGGACGCCGAAAACGGGACCACGAGGGTACACAGGGCTCCCACGACTTGCTGCGAAGGCATCGCTCGCCGACCGTCCGACCTTGGCGCACTCGTCGCGCAGGCCCTGGACGTGCTCCTGAAGCACGTCGGCCTCGCGCTGCACCGCGCGGACCGCCGCGCTGTCCGCCTCGGCCATCGCCCGCAGCTGCTCCCGCACGACGCCGAGGTCCACCTCCGCTGGGCTGCTGGAGCAGTGCAGGCCGATGACGTGGGGATGCGAGGATTGCGGACCCTTGCGTCGGTTCCTGATGTTCGGGGGGGCTGGGGACTCGGAGCAGGCCCTTTTGAGTTCGTGGGATGTGCAACAGCTGGAAGGAGCCGAAAGGGGCAGGACTTTGCAGCACACGCCCAAGACTGTTGGAGAAATGCGCGTTGTGGGGTCCGGTTGGTTCCCAGACCTCAGATGTAGCAAGTTGTTTCACAGCATCGAACACTAGAGCACGACCACTCTCCCGGGCCCAGCTCTTCAAAAAACGCAGATAAATGCGATGCGAATGAGTCTGGTAAGACCACGCGGCGTTGTTATGTAGTGAACATTCCTCTCCAAATTGTGTGTTTGACCGTGCGCTGACGCCCGCAACATGTGCCACGAGCAACTGCTTTTGGCGATACCGGGCCCGTGCGTATAACGCGAACAGGCTCAACCCGTCGGAATTGGTAACCGGAGGAGCTGCGCCCTCGGGCTGCAAAACCCAAACAAATCCCAGACTGTGCTCTGTGATGCCCAGAACTACGGACATTCCCAAGTTCTTGTGGGCGTTGCTTACCGGGGGGCGATCAATGGGGGGCGAAGGAACGTGCACCTTTCGTGCCTCTTTTGGGCCCCTGCGTGCAGCACAACATCGCTCCCCTCATAATGATAACACGTTTTTCTAAGCATGCACGCAGTTGATGGATGTACGCAACCATTCCGGCTCTAGCGCCCTTGGGTTAAAAGGGTAGAACAGGATCATGTCTTCATAGCCCCTGCGGGGGAAGACGCTGACGCGACTCCGCGGATGGTAGCGGAGCGTGGCCGAGTGGTGGCAGACCTCCTTGCCTTGGCTGCTGCCCTCGGCTGCGCGACCACGGCGATGGAGGACCTCGCCGAGCGCGTGCGGCTCATGGAGGGCGAGGTGACGCATCACAGGCAGGTTCTGGCCGAGAACGATATGCTGAGGCAGCGGCTCGACGCAGCAGAGCAGAGGATCGCCGCTGGCAGCGCGATCGACCCTCGGGGAGCCCAGCGGGAGCTGGGGCAGCAAGAGCAGCGACGGCAGCGCAGCTCTCGCAGCTCTAGACACACGCCTGCTCAATAAGCCGCACACGTTCTTGGGCCTGCACTCGGAATGGAAGTCGTGGAGCTTCGACTTCGGGGCCTGCGCGTTCGTCGCAGTACACCTCCGACTGGGGGAGCTCATAAAACAAGCTTCGCTGACGGCGGACGTGCTCACGCCGCAGAACGAGACGGATCGGAAGCTGAACACACAGCTATACTACGTGTTAGTGTCGGTGACCTCGGACGTCGCCAAGGTGGAGATCAAAGGCGACGGGCTCGCAGCGTGGTGGCACCTGCTGGAGGAGTTCGCGCCGGAGGAGGCGAATCGGTTCGCGGCCATGCTCGGCCGCATCATACGCTACGAGCTGCCCGACCCCGCGATGACCTCGCTGGCGGAGTTCGAGCAGCTGATCTGCGAATCTACGGACCAGTCGGAAGACGTGCTTCCGGAAAACACGGAGCGTGGCGTCGTCATGTCAGGCGTCAAGAACGAGAAGCTCGCCGACCACCTGAGCCTGAACGCGTCGAGGCTCACCACCTACACGGAGCTCATGGACGAGCTGAAGCATATCTGTTCGGCGCAGCGGCGCTGGGGGGCCCCAGGCACAGGTGGAGACAGAGTCGTGCCCATGCAGGTCGACGCGCTTGGCAAGCGCAAGGGCAAGGGCGACTCCAAGGGCAAAGGCAAGGGCAAAAGCGACCCGAAGGGGTAAGGGCAAAGGCGACGGCAAGGATAAGGCGGACTCCAAAGGTGGCAAAGGCCGTGAGACGCGCGAGTGCCACTACTGCGGGAAGACGGGCCACCTCATCGCGGACTGTTGGAAGAAGAAGACCGACGAGAAGAAGTCACGAAGGATTGCTGGCCTGACGGAGTCCAACCCGAACGCGAACAAACAGCTCACGAGCTCCAGCCTGCAGCAGCAGAACGGCGCTTCCTCTTCGGCCAGCTTGGCGCCGACGCTGCCCGTCGACGTGGCTCACGTGGCGGCGGTCTTGGCGCAGATGCAGCTGCAGAGTTCGGCACAGAGAGCCTCACCGTCGACAGCGTCGACGGTGCATATCGCCAACATCCACACCCGCGAGAACCCGCTCGACATCCCGAGCACGCCTGAGGACTGCTGGACGGTCGTCATGATCTACGACCCGACGCAGTGCGACGCCCTGCCGACGACGCTGAAGGAATCGATCGAGTCCGTCTGGGCCCTGTTCGACACAGACTCAGGCCTGACGACTTGCCCGACGGACTTCGCGACCGACGCGACCACGCTACCTGCAAAGCCCCCTGCCGCTGTGCGAGTCCGCGACAGGCGACGAGGTGAAGTCGACGGGCACGAGGGGATCGTGAGGACCGAGAGTGAGGGTGTACCCATGCAGATCGAGGTTCAGGCCACGAACGTCAAGCGGGCGATCGTGTCACGGAGAACGATCACATTCCGACCCTGGGCAAGGACGCCTACATCTTGCGGACCGACGGCCGCAAACTGAAGCTCTGCCGGAGCGGCAGGACGTTCTCGTTGAGGATCCAGAGGCCCGCCGAGAACACCACGGAGCCGGTCCTCGTCAACCCGATCCAGCCGAACGCGGAGGCCCGAGCGGTGCCCCACGAGGCTCCTCCCGACGAGGGAGACCCAGGGGAAGGTGCCGCAGCATCGAGCTCGGCGGCGCCGCCGCCACCACCGCCGCCTCGACCTGGGGACGACCAAGCAGATCAGCCAGACGAAGGAGGCGATCAGCGAGAAGGAGCGCGACGGCAGCGAGGCGATGGAGCTTTACTACACATCTCTGGCGAGGCTGCGGCGGCCAGGGCCAGAGGCATGCCCTTGATGCCAGACCGAGCGGTTCGAGATCAACATCGACTCACACACTGGCCGTTTCGAGCGTGGTGCTTATTCTGCCTCATGGGACGAGGCCGGGAAGATCCACACCGCCCCTGATCCAGCTCGTCTGCATAGACGACCTGTTCCTCGGCGACGTAGAGGGCGACCAGCTGACTGTGCTCAACATCCTGGAGTATCAGTCGGGTGCCATCGAGTGCGATCAGATGGCAGTGAAGGGACAAGCCGAATACGCATTGAGTTTTGAGTTTGATCACCGCGGCCATACGCATGTGGGGCATCAGCCGCGTCCTACTTGGAGCCGACAGTGAGAGCGCCATCCAGGCTCTCGTTCGAGCGGTCCAGCTCGCACGCCAGGAGGATACTGTTCCCCACAGCGGACCCCGACGAGACCCGAAGAGCAAGGAGGCCATCGAGAGCGCAAACAAGATGGTTGAGGGGATGTTCCGCACGCTAAGGGCCGCCACCGGGTCCAGGTACGGAGTGAAGCTGACGCTCGACCATTGGGTCATGGGCTGGATGCTGACGCGTTTCCCTGGTAAGTGAAGGAGAACAGCCTGACAGCCTACCAGCATTTGAAGTGTCGCCCCTACGGGGGAGCCATCTGCGAGCTCGGCGAGACCGTGATGCACGAAATCCAGAACATCTCGCACCACAAGGCCGAGCTAAGGTGGGCGAAGGCGGTCTGGGTCGGCAAGGACAACCGCACGGACGAGCACCTCCTCGCCACGACCTCGGGCAAGAAGACGGCCAGGACAGTCGCAATGAGTGGAGGAACAGCGCTGGTCGTGGGACACTCGAGTAGGGCCTGAAGCAGAACCGCCAGCCCCGAGGCGGAGGTACATCACCCGAGCCATCGTCGAGAGGCTTGGCCCGACTCCGAGCTACAACGGGTGCTTCGGCGTCGGTCACCCACACACCGAGGCCTGCAAGGAGCGCCTCGAGGGATTGCTGAAGGCCAGATAGGAGAAGGCGAGGCAGAAGGCTGCTGTACGAGCAGCGGCCACAGCAGCTGCGACGAGACCCGAAGTACCCCCCGCTGCAGCACCTGCTGAAGCACCGGTGCCAGCCCAAGCTGCCCCAGCTCCTGAGGCGGCAAGAGGAGCAGCAGTGGAAGCTCCACGCTGGGAGCCACTGGCACTGGCAGACGCTCAACCACCAGATCAACAAGTTCGTCGCAGGCGACTGGAGGGAGACATTGAACAACCAGCCGCCATGGAGGAGGACAACCCGATGTCGGACGTCGCATCGGCACCACCAGATGCGCAGGAAGGAATGGAGCTGTGCATGATCGGGACCAGCTACGACCGTCAGGCGCTGGGGGTGAACACCACGGCCAAGCAGAAGACGATCGCGGAACTGCTCGTCAACATTGCCGTGGCCTCGCTCGTTCTGGTCTGCGATCCCGTACCGATCAGCGCGGTCACGGCGAAAAACATGACCGACTGCTACGACCGCGAGGTGACCTATAAGGACGTGTGCGGCGCGAGGTCCGGGCGCAAGCTGGACCCCGCGCTGGAGAAGGTCGGGCGCGGCAAGGAGAGGCGCCAGATGGACGAGTTCCAGGTGTTCGACAGGATCCCCAAGCACCTTGCCAAGGGCAAGCGTGTGCGTGGGAAGTGGGTCGACGACGAGCGATACGACGACAGTGGCGCCGAGTGTGTACGCTCGAGGTTCGTCGCCATGCACTTCGCCTCGGACGTCAGGGACGACACCTACGCGGGCACGCTACCTCTGGCGGCCTTTCGGCTAGTGCTCTCATACGCGGCCAGCCTCTACTCAACGGAAGCTGGCTACGACGGCATGCTCGTACTCTACGACGTGTCGGTGGCTTTCTTCCACGCCTACATCGACGAGGACATCCACGTGGTCCCTCCGCGCGGTGAGGAGGCGGAAGATATCGTCTGCCAGCTGAAGCGCGCTCTCTACGGAACGAGAAGGGCCTCGCTTCTCTTCCAGAACCTGATCATCATCCATGGAAACGATTTTCTCGCAGGCGGACGTCGGTCGTCGTTCGATTGGCACGACCAGCGCGTGCAGTCC